TAGTTTTTATCTCATCATACTGTTGTTATCTCTGCCTATTCATGTTTGATTGCTGTAATTTATATCTTTTTTTTTAATGGGGTCTTTCTCTGTCGCCCAGGCTGGAGTGCAGTGACATAATCACAGCTCCCCTCAGCTTTGACTTCCTAGGCTCAGGCCATCCTCCCATCTCAGCCTCCCGAGTAGCTGGGACTACAGGCGTTGGCCACCATGCCCAGCTAATGTTTTCAGTTTTTGTAGAGATGAGGTCTTGCTGTGTTGTCCAGGCAGGTGTGGAACTCCTGGGCTCAAGGATTCCTCCTGCCTTGGCCTCCCAAAGTGCTGGGATTACAGGTGTGGGCCACCATGCCAAACCTATATCCTTTTAAAAATTCATCTTGAGAAAAATTGACGGTACTTTTATAAAATGGTTCACGGAGTCTTTGCTGAGTACCTGCTTCATTCCTGGCCTGACCTTTTGAGGAAAACCCTACACTCAGAGCAGTCGCAACCTTGTCCTGCATTACATGGTGAATGTGGCTACCTGGTTCCAAGGCCCTTGTCCCTTCCCTTCAATCTCACTACCTTATTCTTCCTATTTGCAAAACAAGCGCATGCATATTTGACTCCACTCACTTACTCACAAATGCCCACCACTATTCCCAAGAGTGAGACAGATATTCATAAAATGGATGAGAACATTATTGAGAGTGAAACGTGAACATTTTGGAAAGGATCCAGCAGGTGGGGGTGATAGAAAATGCCTGTAGGAAGGGAAGGGATGTTGAAGGAGTATTGTATCAGGAAGTTACATTTGAGCAAAGACTTTTTTATTTTAAAGATGTGGGGCACGATCAGGGTTCGATATACAAATGGTCATTGTACAGGTAAAGTTTAGGCCTCACGTTGGTCCCCATTTCATGAGCAAAGACTTAAGGAAGTGATTTAGTAATTATTGAACCGGGACAAGTGTGGTGGTTAACACCCGTAATCCTAGCACTTTGGGAAGCCAAGGCAGGAGGATTGCTTGAGCCCAAGAGTTCAATACCAGTCTGGACAACATAGCGAGACCCTGTCTCTACAAAAAGTCAAACAATTAGCTGGGCGTGATTGCATGCGCCTGTAAACCCAGCTACTTGAGAGGCTGAGGTAAAAGCATCACCTGAGCCCAGGAGGTTGAGGCTGAGGTAAGCCATGATCCTGCCTCTGCCCTTCAAACTGGGCGATGGAGTAAGACCCCGACTCAAAAAAATAATTATTATTATTGTTTCTTAACTGGATTAGGAATATAGAAAGCTCCTACCTAGTTCTATTACCCACCTGTCCAACAAAATAGGCTTCTCCTCTGACCCTCAGTACAGTTTTAACATACTTGTTAATGTTCAAACTGAGCCAGGCACAGTGACACACTCCTGTAGTCCCAGCTACTTGGGAGGTTGAGATGGAAAGATAGCTGAAGTCCATGAGTTGGAGGTCAGCCTGGGCAACATAGCAATACCTTATCTCTCCAAAAAGTAAAAATAAAATAAGCAAGGTATGGGGGAATACACCTGTAGTCCCAGGTACTCAGGAGGCTGAAGTGGGAGGATTGCCTGAGCCCAGGAGGTTGGGGCTATGGTGAACTGTGATCGTGCCATTGCACTCCAACCTGGGTGACAAAGAGAGCCCCTGACTCAAATAAATACATAAATAAATAAAGTTCAAACTGGTTTATTTATGTAAGGTTAGTTCCATTTTTATCCAATTGTCATTTTTTTTTTTGAGTTGGGGTCTCACTCTGTCACCCAGGCTGGAGTGCAGTGGCACACTCATGGCCACTGCAGCCTCGACCTACTGGGCTTAGGCAATCCTTCTGCCTCAGCCTTCCAAATGCACCACCACGCCTGGCTTATTTTTTGATTTATTGTAGATTTATTCTCGCCAAGTTGCCCAGGCTGATCTCGAACCCCTGGACTCAGGCAATCCTCTTGCCTCGGCCTCCAAAAGTGCTGGGATTACAGACTGAGCCACAGCACCCAGCCCAATTATCATTTTAAAAAATTATTATTGTTGTAGGGATGAAGTCTTGCCAAATTGCCCAGGCTGGTCTCGAATCCCTGGACTCAGGCAATCCTCTCGCCTCTGCCTTCCAAAGTGCTGGACTGACAGGCGCAATTGTCATGACATAATTAAATGATTGTAGAATCTCCTAGTGAAGTTTAGCTTCATATAACAAGAACAATCATATCATAAAGAAGGCAGTTTATTTTCCTTCCCATGTAAAAGGTGTTTAGAAGTAGAGGGTCCAGCAGTGGCATGGAGGGACAGTCTGTTAGCCTCATACACCCAGGCTCCTTCCACTTCACTGCTGTGATCATGTGACATTCAAACTCGTTATCCAGCATGGCTCCTGGAGCGTCAACCTTTGCTTCTACATCCCAGAAAGCAGATGTTGGAGCAGGGCCCATGTCATTGCTTTTCAGAGACTTCCTGAAGTTGCAGGCTGTGCCTCAACCCTCTTTTCAGAGGTCAACGCTTAGTCATGTGGTCATCTCTTGCTGTGATTGGCTGGGCAGTGAAGTCTTTTAGCTGGGTAGCAGTGTGCTCAACTGAAAACCAGTTCTCAGGACTGAGAAGGAAGCATGATTGCTATTGGAAGACAGTCAGCCATCTGTGGCACATCCACAGATAAAGTATTAGCTAAAATAGCCATGACTAATTAGAACCTGAAGTCTGGACGGATGTGGTAGACCATGCCTATAATCCCAGCTGTTTGGGAGGCCGAGGTGGGAGGATCACTTGAGCCCAGGAGACCCACCTGGGCAACATAGAGAGACCTCATCTCTACAAAAATAAAATAAAATAAATGAACTGGGTGTGGTGGCACATGCCTGTAGTCCCAACTGCTGAGGAGGCTGAGGTGGAAGGATTGCCTGAGCCCAGCAGATTGAGGCTGTGGTGAGCCGTGATTGTGCCACTGCATTCCAGCCTGGGCAACAGAGTAAGACCCTGCCTCAAAAAAAAAAAAAGAACCGGGCTCGGTGGCTCAGCCTATAATCCCGCACCTTTGGGAAGCCGAGGCAAGTGGATTGTCTGAGCCCGCGGGTTCGAGACCCGCCCGGGCAACTTGGCGAGACCTCATCTCTACAATAAATCAAAAAATTAGCCGGGTGTGGTAGCGCGCGCCTGTAGTTCCAGCTACTTGGAAGGTTGAGGTGGAAGGATTGCCGGAGCCCAGCAGGTCGAGGCTGCAGTGACTGGGAGCGGCCACTGCACTCCAGTCTGGGCGACAGAGTGAGACTCCAACTCAAAAAAAGAAAAAAGAAATTGAAAATTTCTAAACGTTTTTTAAAAGAAGAACCTGACGTTTTTTCAAGTTGTCTTTTTCAGTAGTATTTAAAAAGTCAGATGATTGCTGATTAGACTGGTATTACAGTCACATGTGTCTCTGAATTATCTGTCTGTCTACAACCCTGTGGTTGTAAATTCCTTGTTCATTTGTCGCCACCTGACGATGAGCTCCCTGAGAAGTTGTTGGATTCACAGTTCCTAGCAGAGTACACCCATAGAGTACACATTCAGCTCATGGATTTATGTGGCAAACATCGATTGTACACCATGATCACCAAACAACATCTAGGTACCAGGAATACAGTAGAGAAAAAAGTGGAAGAGATGTGGTGGCTCACGCCTGTCATCCCAGCACTTTGGGAGGCGGTGGCAAGAGGATTGCCTGAGCCCAGGATTTCGAGATCAGCTTGGGCTACTTGGTGAGACCTTGTCTCTAAAATAAATCAAAAAATTAGCCGGGCATGGTGGCACATGCCTGTAGTCCTAGCTACTTGGGAGGCTGAGGTGGAAGGATCACCTGAGCCAGGGTGTGGCAGAGCCAGGCAACAGAGTGAGACCTCGACCCAAAAAACAAACAGAAGAGAGCTTAAGTTTTGGTGGCAGAGAGACTGTGAATAAATATATACATAAAGGAAAGTTAAGTAATGAATTAAAACCTTCGAACCACAGTGATCTAAGAAAGTAGAGAGCTTATTTGCGCATTACTTTGACTTTATGTATGATGTTGCTTTAGGAACTTCTGATGGGAACTAGATTTTATTTTTTTTCTGAATCAAGGTCTCCCTCTGTCACCCAGGCTGAAGTGCAGTAGCATGCTCATGGCTCACCACAGCCTCCCACTGGGCTCAAGTTTCTTTCACCTTAGTGGACTCACCACAACCCTACTCCTGGGCTCAAATGAGTCTTTCACCTCAGCCTCCCAAGTAGCTAGGACTACAGGTGTGCACCACCATGCCTCGCTAATCTTTTTATTCTTTGTGGAGATGAGATCTCGCCATGTTTCCTGGACTGGTCTCAATCTCTTGGGCTCAAAACAATCCTCCTGCCTTGGCCTCTCAAGTGCTGGGATTACAGACATGAGCCACCATGCCTAGTCTAGATTTTTTTTTTTTTTTGAGTCGGAGTCTCACTCTGTCACCCAAGCTGGAGTGCAGTGGTGCACTCACAGCCACCGCAGCCTTGACCTGCTAGACTCAGACAATCCTTCGGCCTCAGCGTATAGCTGGAACTACGGGTATACGCTACCACACCCGGCTTATTTTCACCAAGTTGCCCAGGCTGGTCTTGAACCCCCAAGCTCAGGCAGTCCTCTTGCCTTAGCCTCCCAAAGTGCTGGGATTACAGGCTTGACCCACCACACCCGGCCTGGAATTTTGTATCACTACATTTTTCAAAGGAATTGCATAGTCATGGCCTGTTGATTTTTCTGCATTTTACAAACTAACTCCTAAATCGTGTTTGTATCTCCAAATGTAGAAAATGTTTATCGAAAGTATCTTCAAATCTCAACCGGAGATACAGTTTTACAAATGACGTTTATCCTTTCTAGTGATAAAAGTGTTCCTAAAAAATTATTATCAACCATTACAATTCCCTTGGAATATCGTCTGTATGAAGTCATCCTAATTCATAGGTTACAAAGTACTTGCATGCATTTGAACGTATTTGCCTGTTGGTGGGTGTAATTTCAGGATTCTCAGCTGGTAATAGAAGCTTACAAATCAGGATTTGAGCCCCCTGGAGACATTGAGTTTGAGGATTACACTCAGCCCATGAAGCGCACCGTGTCAGATAACAGCCTTTCAAATTCCAGAGGAGAAGGGAAGCTGGAGCTCAAATTTGGCGGCAAATCCAAGGGAAAGCTGTGGCCGTTCATCAAAAAAAATAAGGTACTGATCGTTGGACCTAGTGAGAGATGAGCCTCATGAAGTGTAAAGACTTTTGACTTTATCTTTTAGTCTTCAAAAAATTAAGATCTTCAGCCTGTAGTTTTAGAACGCAAAAAACTGGCCTAGCGTGTATTTTGTGCTAAGACAGTATTTCCTGGTGGTGGTGGTGGTGGTGGTGGTGGTGGTGTCTTCGCCATGGCCCTGTCTTACTTCAGATGCGTTTTCCCTCGCTCCGTGTCACCCACACTAACAGATGACTGTCGCTTCATGCCTCTCCCTCCTTAATCTCCTCCACTGCTGGCTGCCTTGCCTGGGAGACAGGATGTAGTGTGTGACATCTCCATAACTATTTAGCGGCACGTCTCATCGAAATCGTGTCATCGCCATGTTAGTGACTTGGTTTCAGATTCGTGTTAGCGTGTGTCCACAGGCCCTTTCCGTTCCCTTTTCATCACGTGGTACGTAGGTGCATGACAGCATTAACCAGGGGACCCAGGACGCCATCCAAGCCACCTTCCCGCTTGAACCTTAGAATGACTTAACGTTTCATTGGAAAAGACTTGTCCTGCTGTGTTCACCCCCTCGGCACCTCAGGCCTTGCACTGTCACCCACAAAGCCCCGTTAGGTTAGGTGGCGCAGGAGGACTTCCCCTCCTGGCCCTCGCTGGTCTAGAGTAACTGGCGAGAGCCGTGATCTGCATGTGACGCTTTGCATGCCGTCCTGTCCTGTCGGGTACTTCTCGGGCTTCTGTCGCGTTACTTACTAAACCTCCCACTCTCCCCCATACGCTTCATTTCACGTGTCCCCCGTGTTTTCTTTTGGACCATGGCCTAAATATTTAATTGTTTGTGTTTGACTTGCTTTGGATTTCCAATATGATTTGATGCTTATTTTTGTTTTGTGTCTTATCTTCTCGTTTCTGATTTTTTACTCTGTCACGGCTCCATCTCTTACACGTAGCTTGTGTCCCTTTTAACATCCCCCCATCAGCCTCCCCCTCCCCCCCCTGCCTCTGCCTCACCCTGTGCTGTTCCCAACGGCCCCCAGTCTCCCAAGCAGCAAAAGGAACCCCTCTCCCACCGCTTCAACGAGTTCATGACCTCCAAACCCAAAATCCACTACTTCCGGAGCCTGAAGCGTGGGGTAAGTTCTGCTCTGGACTCCTGTCTCGCGCGCGCTTTTGTTGCATGCTGGGTTCTGCATAACTTCGTTCTGTTTGTAAATGGAGCCGTTGTGTTTTCCCACGACGCACAAAAATCAAGAACCTGTGATTCACTGAAACAGAGAGAGGAGGGAAGAAAGGAGGAAGCAGGAAGGGTGGAAGGAAGGAGAAAGCCGAGCTGCCCTGAGTTCTGTTTCTAGCACATTTTGGAGGGACTTCAGCCCCAACTTCCCCTTTAAAGCATCCAAGTCATTCAATTTTTTTTTTACCTTGATTTGACCAAAAAAGGAAACTTTGATTCTGTTTCTAAAACGAGCCCCGTATGAGATGAGGAATCAGAAGTGACTGTATGACCAGAAAGTATTTGCTCAATAATCGCTGAAGCAATGTCAGGGTCACGGAGAAACTTTTTTCTGAGCCATGCATCGGGGTTCAAAGGGGAAATGTCCTCCGTCATGGTGGTTCCGGGAACTATTTTAGTGAAATGAGAAGATGCTGAGAAAACATGTCGACTGGAAAAGGCCTAATGCAGTGTTTCTCTTTAAAGGGTGAAGTAATAAAGGTGGCTGGCATGCATCGAATGCTTCTGCCACTCCAGGCTGTGTGCTGTGTGCTCGCTTAAGTCTTCTTCAACCACCTGTGGCGCCCAAGTGCTGATATTCCCTTATTTTACCGCCAAGGAAATCGAGGCATAAAAAGATGAAGGGTCGGGCATGGTGGCACTTGCCTGTCATCCCCGCACTTTGGGCGGCTGAGGCAGGAGGATCGCTTGAGCCCAGGGGTTTGAGACCAGCCTGGACAACACAGTGAGACCTCGTCTCTACAAAAATGGAAAAAATTAACTGGGCGGGGTGGCGTGTGTCTGTAGTCCCAGCTGCTCAGGAGGCTGAGGCAGAAGGATCACTTGAACCCAGGAGGTTGAGGCTGCGGTGAGCTGTGACACTACCACTGCACTCCAGCCTGGGTAACAGAATAAGATCCCAACTCAATTTTTTTTTTAAAAAAAGGTGAAGTTAGGATGACGTAGCACCATCATTTAAAGCCGGGGAGCCTGCTTATCTAATCTGAGCTCTGTGGCATTCTCACTCAGGGAAAATCTATGATAATATTGTTGACTCATCAGTGGATGTTATTAAGATTCAAGTTTGCCATTCTAATTAAGATCGATGGTGCTTAAGTCACAGGGTTTGACGGTACTGATGCAGCCATCCAATGTAGATACCAATTTGGCTTATAGAAAAAAAATTGGAATAAAGTAATGTGTAGCCTTCCAAATCCATCTAATTAGGTTAGTCTAGTCTAAGCCTTCCCAAAATATCTTTTATAGTGAATAATGATATTTGACAATCAAGGGCAAACATATTTGGTGCAATAACATATTCAGTAAGGTTTTGTTTTGTTGTTTTTTTTTTTAAATCCTGCCCTGTGGGACTTGCAATATACTTATAGTAAAATGCTTTCTTTTATTTATTTGTTTGTTTATTTTTATTTTTATGTTTTTCACAGAGACGAGTCTCACTATATTGCCCATGCTGGTCTTAAATCCCTGGGCTTGACTCAAAGTATATAAATATATAAAATAAAATAAGAGACCAGTCAGGCTCAATGGCTCACGCCTATAATCCCAGCACTTTGGGAGGCCAAGGCAGGAGGATGGTTTGAGCCCAGGAGTTCAAGACCAGACTGGGCAACATAGCAGAGACCTCATCTCTGCAAAAAATTAAAAAACTAGCCAGACATGGTGGCACATGCCTGTAGTTGCAGCTTCTCAGCAGACTGAGATGGAAGGATCTTCTCCTGAGTCCAGGAATTGGAGGCTGTGGTGAACCATGACTGTGCTACTGCATTCCAACCTGAGTGACAGCATGAGACTCCAACTCAAAAAAATAAAATAGGGGACAAAATGATATTTCATTATAAGCAGAATTCCCTTGATAAGAGAATCTCATCTTTTATGCAGTGAATACAGATGGATGGATTATCATGTCTTCAGGCTGCCAGGCATGTCAGGTTAAGAATGAAAAACTTACTTTTCTAGAGATACGGAGAAAGCCATTGCTAGACGGCAGAGTAGAGATCTTCGAAAGTGGAGGATGGATTGTGCTTAACTGTTATTAGGACTTGCTAAGGTATCCGCAGCTTCCTGGCTTGATTGTTCTGGCTTTTAGAACTCAATTCATTAATAATCAAAAGAATTTTCAGTATATGACAAGGGGGTTTCTGCTGAGCCATAAAGTTTGATATTAACTGTAAGTCAGTGTACCCATGTCTGCCACTCACCAAACCTTTATCAACCTTTATTTTATCATAAATGCCTCTGTATTTGACTCTCATGATGAATTATGTTGAATCTTCATGATTGTTTACCATGTGTTTATGTATCTGTTCCAGTCTTTTCTCAACATTGCCCAGTCTGTTGGCTGCCAATGGTTTCTGAATCTGTGTTTCTTGGTATTCTCTAAATGTTTAGGGAAAAGGGCCAGGCATGGTGGCTTGTGCCTGTAATCCCAGCACTTTGGGAGGCCGAGGCTGGAGGATCATTTGAGGTCAGGAGTTCAAGACTAGCCTGGACAACATAGTGAGACCCCATCTCAAAAACAAAAAAAGTTTAACCACATCTGGTGACAGAAGCCTGTAAGTCCCAGCTACTTGGGAGGCTGAGGCAGGATGCCTTGAACCCAGGAGTGTAAGGCCACACAGTGAGCTATAATCTTGCTACTGCACTCCAGCCTAGACAACACTCTGTGCCTCAAAATAAATAAATGAACAAATAAGTAGGAAAAGACCAAATAATTCAGTAATCAATAAATGTTTAAAAAGATGGTTAGAAAAATGTAATAATGGGCAATCCCCTCAGGTCCCCTCCTGCTCTGGGAGCTTTTCTGTCCTCAATAAATCATACTTTCTCAAAAAGAAAGAAAGGAATGTAATACTTAGAAACAAACAAGATAACAGTGAAATGGGAAACTGGTTATTTGATGATTTAAAGGAAACTCTCCCCCTCCTTTTTTTATTATAATCAGCATTTTAATCTTACTCCTCAAATCTGTGCTTAGCAAATCTTTGTTTAAAAAAATTTCCTGAAGGGTGAGTGTGTTTTCCTGAAGGTTAACCACACACATACATGGACTGGAAGCATTAATAAAGAAATAGAGGCCAGATGCAATGGCTCAAGCCTATAATTCCAGCACTTTGGGAGGCCAAGGCGAGAGGATTGCCTGAGCCCGCAGGTTTGAGACCAGCCTGGGCAACATGGCAAGACCTCATCTCTACAATAAATCAAAAAATTAGCTGGGCGTGGTAGCACATGCCTGTAGTTCCGGTTACTTGGAAGGCTGAGGCGGAAGGATAGCTGCCTGAGCCCTGCGGGTCGAGGCTGCTGTGGCCATGAGCATGCCACTGCTCTCCAGACTAGGAGTGAGACTCCAACTCAAAAAAAAAAAAGAAATAGAAAAATACTTTTACTTCTTTCATTTTTTGATCAATCTGTTCTTCATTAGGGTCAGATTTGATGTTCCTTTCTCTAGGAAGTAGCAGTGAGAAAAAAAAGAAAAGAAAAAAATTCTAATGTTTAGGGAAATAGATGTGCTCTGTAAGTGGTCTCAGCATGGAGGGCGCATGTTTACAGATTCCATGACCAAAGGGTCTTGCTGCCATTTCATTTATTCTGCTTTTTACCTTAAGACCATTATGCCAACCATAATTTAATGAGAAAGAGTTTCATAACATATGTGTGCTTTTAGTATGTCTTTTAGTTTATTGTGTTTTATAGCTTCCAGATTCAGGTTTTAATAATGTGTTTCTATTATCAGAGTATATATATCATGTGCAAACATTTCTCAGCATAAACTGGTTTGGTTTCTAAATAATTCAAAAGGGTAAAATATTTTTTGGTGTAAGCTGTTGACATTTGTAAGAAAATTTTCTTTTCCAGAGCATCTTTAAAGACACCACCAGAGTATTAATCGCTATTTCATCTTTACATATGTTGAATAAAAATGAACTGGAAAGTATATTCTTGCTGGGTGCAGTGGTTCACATCTGTAATCCCAGCACTTTGGGAGGCTGAGGCGGGAAGATTGCTTGAGCCCAGGAGTTCGAAACCAGCCTAGGCAACATAGCAAGGCCCCATCTCTACAAAAAATTATGAAAAGTGGCTGGGTGTGGTGGTGCCTGCCTGTAGTTCCAGCTATTCAGTTGACTGATGTGGGAGGATCACCTGAGCCCAGGAGGCCGAGACTGCAGTGAGCCGTCTTCGTGACACTGCACTCCAGCCTGGATGACAGAGTGAAACCCTAATGCCCCCCCCCCCCAAAGTTCTCAATTTTCAATCTGCAAAGTATACTTTTATTGTCTTTTATGAAGATTTTTGTGTTCTGGCCTTTGCAAGAGACTCTATAACTAAAATATGGACACATTTCTTTCCATATTTTAGAGTTGATTGTATAGAAAAATACTGTCAAAGTTGATTAAAAGATTTTGAAAATCCTTATCAATTGTTTGTCAGATGTTAAAGCCTTATGGTTACTTTACTCTTATTTATTTTATCCTGTTCTCTTGCTGGTTATTGGCAGACTCAGTCTTTCTGTTTTCACAAAGAACTTATGAAGAGGACGGTAGGGAAACCTACGTATGCCTTTGAGGCTAGGGACTATGTTGTAAGTTACCTGTGACAGCCAGGTCATGCAGTCACAGCACAGCCGCTAACCCCATTCAGAGCACCAAGACTGGGGACCCCAGCACACGCTGTCATGCTTCCACAACATGAAATGAAATTCTTAATTGCGAGAACTGGACCCCAGAGATACAGTCTGATTGTATAAATTCAACCATGGGTAACTTCAGCCAAAAAACGTGCATGAAAACAAGAGCCAAACTTCTTCATAGTAATAATCAAACTTTACAATAACATCAGTGAGCTAAGCTTGGTTCCCCCTGCCCTTTTCATTCTAGTTGGTAAAATCTTTAAGGAATCGTGACTGCCATCTGAGATGTCATTGGGTATTATTTTACAGCAGAAATTAACCCATAAAACCAGGTGCAGGGCATTGTCACAGGAGCATGACAGTCTCACAGATAGTAGTTACATAGTTCAATATCCACATCCTGGCTGGGCGTGGTGGCTCACACCTGGAAACCCAGCACTTTGGAAGGCCGAGACAGGAGGATTGCTTTAGCCCAGGAGTGTAAGACCAGCCCAGCCTGGGCAACATAGCAAGAACCCATATCTATTTAATAATTTTTGTGTGTGTGTGTGTTGGACTCTCACTCCGTAACCCAGGCTGAAGTACACTGGCATGCTCACGGTCACTGCAGCCTCGACCTGCTGGGCTCAGGCGATTGTTCCGCTTCAGCCCTCCAAGTAGTTGAAACTCTAGGCGCGAGCTACCACACCCGGCTAATTTTTTGATTTATTGTAGAGACGAGGTCACATCAAGTTGCCTATGTTGCCCTGTTGTCTCAAACCCATGGGCTCAGGCAATCCCCTCGCCTAGGCTCCCAAAGTGCTGGTATTACAGACTTGAGCCACCGCACCTGGCCTATATAAGAAATTTTATTTTTTTTTTAGTTTGGAGTCTCACTCTATCTCCCGGGCTAGAATGCAGTGGCACACTCACGGCCACCACAGCCTTCACCTGGTGGGCTCAGGTGATCCTTCCACCTCAGCCTTCCAAGTAGCTGTAATTACAGACACACACCAGCATGCCCGGCTCATTTTTTGATTTCTTGTAGAGACAAGGTCTCGCCAAGTTACCCAGTCTGGTCTCGAACCCCTGGACTCAGGCACTCCTCTTGCTTTGGCCTCCCAAAGTACTGGGATTACAGGCTTGAGCCACTGCGCCCAGCCTATTTAATAAAATTTTTTTAAAACTATTATCCACATCCACATTTATAACAAATGGATCTGTAAGGGAATTATGCCATAAAGCTTAGAGAGCAACAACCACAAAAAAAAAAATTAACAAAGCATGAACAGTTTCATACGTAGTAAAATTATTTTGCTTAAGCATTTATACGTATATATTTATTTTCACCGTCCCCTGTCTTTGTACTTGAGGTTAGCTCTGTGACTGTCCAATAACACATGGACTTGCTGGCTCTGTGTTCCCTGATGTGTTATTGACGCTTGTGGCTCCAAGGCTCATTAATTGTCGCCTGAAACTGACAGCTTTTTAATTCCTCAGATGTCTAGCAACGCACTTAAGGAAATCGTTTGAAATTATTCTCTTAGCCAGTGATCAGCTTTCTAATTTTAAGTGATCTAATTGGCTGGCTTACAATTTAAGGCTGAAAACTAGTTTTTAATTTAAAAAAAAAAAAGAATCCTATGCACCATAGTGGCACTTTTGAGATTAACCATCACTGTCCATTTCAGAAAACGGAATTTGATAATTCATTATTTCCTATTTTTATTGGGATTTATATTAAATTGGAATGACTGGTGTTTATTATGAAGTGGTAGTCTTCCTACACAATATTTTTATGTCAGAATTCTGCTTTGGGAACACTCAAGAAAGAATTTGTAACTTCAAGCAATGAAGGCAGCCGAATAGAGAGCAAATAGTCTGCCTAGTTGACACGTTAGTTGTTGAACTTGCAGTGTTTAGACCATAATGTATAAGAAAATATTTGTGTATGATAGCGTGCCTTGTAGGAAGGACATTTGGAAAGTTCCCTGCTGTGCACCATAAATGTTGCCTGTATGTACAACAAACTCAAGTTGCTATGAATAGATCTGTGCTAAAGTTCACAGGAGGGCGCAAATGGTTGCAGACTGTCCACATCAGAGCATGTGACTTTATATACCTCTTCTTCCCCAAAAGTTTGTCTTTTTATTTTTTTTTAAATGTCATTTTTCGACTGGGCGTGGCGGTTCATGCCTATAATCCCACACTTTGGGAAGCTGAGGTGGGAGGATGACCTGAGCCCACGGGTTTGAGACCAGCCTGGGCAACTTGGCGAGACCTCATCTCTACAGTAAATCCAAAACTTAGCCGAGTGTGGTGGCATGTGCCTGTGGTCCCAGCTACTTGGAAGGCTGAGGTGGAAGGATCGCCGGAGCCCAGCAGATAGAGGCTGCAGTGGCTGTGAGTGTGCCACTGCGTTCTAGCCTGGGCGACAGAGTAAGACTCTGACTCCAAATAAATAAATAAATAAATGTTAAAATATCATTTTTAAAAATAGGGACAATTTCTGTAAAAGATGATTCTCTATTTACAAAAAAGTGTCATGTTGAAATCAATCTTAAGAGTCAATTTTTAAAAATCCAGTTAAGGAATTTCTAAATCCCTTTTAAAAATCAGAGGGCACCCTCTTGAGTATTTCATCTCCAAAATATTTCTAGCTCTCACTTGCCAGTGGCCTGAACTGTTAGGATTGATAGCAGCTAAACAAATACCATGCACTGGATTCTCAAGTCCTGTATATAGCCACAGAGCAGGTCTCACCTATTAGTGAAGAACTCACACCTGTAGTTTTTCACGGTCCTTTGGGAGACCAAGGCAGGAGGATCGCTTGAGCCCAGGTGTTCGAGACCTCATCTCTCCAAAAAAAAAAAAATTATCCAGATGTGGTGGTGGTATGCCTGTAGTCCCAGCTTCTTGGGAGATCAAGGCTGTGGTGAGTTATGATTGTGCCACTACACTCCAGCTTACCCAAAACAAAAAAAGAAACAACTACAATAACAAAAACTCAAATGTTTCTTTTTTTCTTTTTTTTTTTGAGTCAGAGTCTCACTCTGTCACCCAGACTGGAGTGCAGTGGCTGCACTGCAGCCTCGACCTCCTGGGCTCCAGCGATCCTTCCGCCTCAGCCTTCCAAGTAGCTGGAACTACAGGCGTGCGCTACCTCGCCCGGCTCATTTTTTGATTTATTGTAAAGATGAGGTCCCACCAAGTTGCCCAGGCGGGTCTCGAACCCGTGGGCTCAGGCAATCTACTCACCTCAGCCTCCCAAAGGCGCGGGATTATAGGCTGAGCCACCGAGCCAGGCTCAAATGTTTCTTTTTTGAATTTTGAGATGCCTTTAAATTGGGGCGTAGCCATCACTCTGCCCTTCTCATCTCTGGGTCCAGCAGGAGTGCGCCACTGAGGTCTGATCATTATTAGGTAACTCACAGCAAGGAGCGCCCATCGGTAGTTGAGAAGTTGGCTGCCGACTTCCTAAAGGTAACTTTCAAGAGCAGCTGCTGCTGGGAATTCTCCCAGTGCTCAGCTAACCCCGTGGACTGGGCCAGAGTCCCATGGGCAATCTCAGCAGACTCCTTCCCCCTTCCCCCCCAAACAGGAGGCAGTTCACTGTTCTCAGGCAGGAGAGAGCCTCGTCCTCTGTCTCCAACCTGGTGCCAAACGACTTTCTGGCTCCTGCACACAGTTTCTTAGAGCAGCTTCTAGCCCAGTTGCCCAGTCACCAGTTTCAGTGTTTGCCTTTATTCCATTAAGAAGTGCCACTAAGCCGGGCTCAGTGGCTCAGCCTGTAATCCCGCGCCTTTGGGAGGCTGAGGTGAGTGGATTGCTTGAGCCCACGTGTTCGAGACCTGCCTGGGCAACTTGGCGAGACCTCATCTCTACAATAAATCAAAAATTAGCCGGGCGTGGTAGCGCGCGCCTGTAGTTCCAACTACTTGGAAGGCTGAGACGGAAGGATCGCCGGAGCCCAGCGGGTCGAGGCTGCGGTGGCCGGGAGCGGCCACTGCACTCCAGTCTGGGTGACAGAGTGAGACTCCAACTGAAAAAAAAAAAAAAAAAAAAAAAAAAAAGAAGTGCCACTGTTGGAAGGCAGGGGTGGAAGGATTGCCGGAGCCCAGCAGGTCGGCGCTGGGGTGGCCGTGCGCGGGCCACTGCACTCCTGCCTGGGCGACAGAGTGAGACTGTGACTCAAAAAAAAAAAGAAGAGCCAGTGTTGGCTGGGTGTAGTGACTCATGCCTGTAATCCCAGCACTTTGGAGACTGAGGTGGGAGGATTGCTTGAGGCCAGGAGTTTAAGACCAGCCTGGGCAACATAGTGAGACCTCATCTCTACGAAAAAATCAAAATATTAGCCGGGTGTGTGTAGTCCTATCACTTGAGCTCAGGAGTTTGAGGCTGCAGTGAGCTAGGATCATTCTATTACACTCCAACTTGGGGAGCAGAGCGAGGCCCTATCTCTAAATAATGAATAAATAAACAAAGGACTTAAGAAGTGCCAATGTTCCTATTTATTAGAATTCCTTAAGATAAAAATATTACTTGCGCCACAGTTTGACACTGCTCATGCCACTGCACTCCAGCCTGGACTGTAGAACAAGCCCCTGTCAGTCAGTCAGTCAGTCAATCAATCAAGGATTGAAGAAATGCCAAGGTTTATTAGAGTGCCTTAAGGTAAAAATATTCCTTGTAGCTGGGCACAGTGGCTCATGGGGAGGCTAAGGCAGGAGGATTACTTGAGCCCCAGGAGTTTGAAGCTGGCCTGGGCAACATAGGGAGACCTCGTCGCTATAAAAAATAAAAAAAATTAGCTGGGTTTTGTGGTACACACCTGTAGTCCCAGCTACTTGGGAGGCAGAGGTGGAAAGATCACCTTAGCGCAGGAGGTCAAGGCTGTGGTGAACCCTGAGTACACTCCAACCTGGGTGACAGAGTGAGACCCAGACTCTAAAAAAAAAAAAAATATATATATATATATACACATATATATATATGTAAATCTTGCATGTCATGTAAGTAACTGTTGTTCAGACTTTTTTTTTAGTCTGTGTAAAACTTCCTATGGGAAATTTGGTGAACAAAAATCTCTATGATTATATTTGACTTTGATGGTCATTCTGTGTCACTGACTTCAAGTGCACTTTAGTTTACATCCAGGCTGAGCGACCAAGGCAGAACTGTCACGGATATTCTCCTTTTCTGTCTTGTCTTTGCTCTGGCAATGTGGCAGCATAAGAAAAGTTTTGTTCAGATCCAGCCCTTCTCGTGACTTTGGCACAGATCTGCTATAGATCATTTTTATAAGTCAACAGGTGAATGTATGTGTTATTTTTATATGGTAGAATTGACCATGTTTCTCTCCTTCTGATGTGTTGTTGTTTTTTTTCTCTTTCTCTCTCTCTCTTTTTCCCCTGTTACTCTTCAATTTTTACATGAAGCTTTCTCTCAAGCTGGTAAGCACAATTATTCATGCATGTCCTGTCTAATCAGGTTTTGTGGTGTGTGTTTTGTGGAAGCTCTGCTGTGCACAACACATCTTCAAAGTTTACTCGGTTGGTGTTTCTCTTATGTGTGCTTTTGTTGGTGTTTATTAGACTTCGGGATTATACTGGTCCAAATCTAATCAAGGTGGCCTTAATCTCTTCAATTTGCTAAGGAAATTAACACTTTAACTCATGGTTTGGCTTCCTTTATTATTAGGGCTGTCAGAGGATGACAAGTGTTGATACTTGTCTATATACATATGAACATGAGACTGGGCGTTGGTGACTCACCAGCTCTTTGGGAGGCCAGCTCTTTGGGAGGCCAAGGTGGTAAGATCCCTTGAGCCCAGGAGCTCACTAACCTGGGCAACATAGGGAGACCTTGCTGCTACAAAAAAATCAAAAAATTAGCTGGGCATGGTGGTACGTACCTATAGTCCCAACTACTCCAGAGGCTGGCCGAGGTGGGAGGATCGCCTGAACCCGCCAAGTTGAGGTTACGGTGAGCTGTGATCCTGCCTCTGCACTCCAACCTGGGTGATAGAGTGAGAGCCCTGACTCAAATTTTATTTAATTAATGTGAATCTAAGTATTAAACCTTGGGGGGGTGGAATTCATTGGGTCATTTTGAATAAAAATAAATTGAAGAGTTGACAAATGTTTCTATCTGGGAACTGTGGAAGTAGATGAAGAACTCTGGGTACCCGTAGGAGACGCGCAGGTGTGACCTTGACCTGCAGCGGCTACTCGGGGTTCAGGGTCGCCTGTGAGAGTCCAACCTGGGAAGCTTTCGGGTGCTGCACAGCTATAAGGGGCACAAGAAGGTTTCCTGGACAGTCCAGAGAGCCTCATAGGCCTTTTATGATTTTTTACTTAGTGTTTTGTATTGTTTCTACTTAATGTGTAGCCCTAGTAAGCCAAACTAATCATTAAATGTATTAAAAGGCATGTAACCAACGTAACCCATAACGTACTTCAGATACGTATAATAGTTGTGTAGTATTCCCCGATGCTGCAGCTGAGAACATCCTAAAATAATGCACATTGGTAAACTGACAGTTTCGCTAGGAATAAGAGCAGCCCTGTATGCACTACTGTTGAACCCTAGAATTGTGTTTTAGGGCGATATGTTTGGATACATTTATATCTATTTATATATATGTGTATATTATATATATATATAATTTTTCAATCTGACTCTATTTAACAGATCTAACCCTACAGCAAAAATAATATTTTATTAAATTAAACATGTCCTATCCGGAACCTCAACTTGACGCTCGACCAAATGGACAAAAATAATAATAATAATTAAACATGTTCTAGGATGGGAAACAAAATCCTAAAAAGAGTCTTTGATTAGAGCCTTTGCAAGAGGGAAAGAGATCAGATAAGTGTATCAACAGTATGAATTTGGAAAGAATTGGATCTACCCCACAAAACTATAATAAAAATACTGATTAATTATTAAAAAAAAAAAAGAATTGGATCCATTGACTAGGAGTGTTTCTCAGCTGTCCAGATTTCTTGTCTCCCCCTTAGTCATGCTTTTATTTGGTGCTAGCAACAGAAGGTAGTATTTTTAGGTGATCTTTCTGAAGTGCATATTATTTTACTCACTTGGTAGTGAACTGTTGCTTTATACCATTACTTTGTAGTCAATTAAAAAGCAAAGAGTTACGTAAAGATGTCTTAGGTTTAAAACAGCAACATTCTGGGTGTGGT